GACAAAATAAACTAAATTGTGCAAGTTTAGGTAGATGAGGAAAGCATGGCAGATATGATTTTTTTTGCCAAGAACTGCTTGCGGTCAAGCATACTCGATGCTACTAAGCGTCCCTCAGGCTCACTTCTAGAGAAACCTCTTGAACTCAAGTGAAATGATCATGTTTGACTCAGCCACTCTCAGTATTCTTGCCAAACAAACAGAACTGAAGATAGAGTGCATTACCTTCAAAGTACCGCTGGTCCTTCCCGTATCCTCCGCACTCATTTTGGCACGGCAGACAACGCTTCACTCGCATGCAATGCTTCCACAACTGCTCCTCATTTTTGACGTACTTGGAGAGATGCTGATAGAGATCCTTGAAGGGCAGGTACTCAGCCATACAGGCACCATCTAAAACGGTGTGAGAAAAGTATAAAATGTGGCAGTAGCGGGGTTTTCTAGTTCAGCATAGCGACCTCCAATGCGACACAAATGGTTTGAAACCTACTTTTTGTCAACCTAGTGTACAACTTGACCCCTTTTGACTGAAGACAAGGTAGAAAAAAATTATCATAATATATGTTAATGCTCCTATTCAGTGTGATTTCATTGGGGATTTTGATGAGGAAAACACGGAATAGTACTATAAAGTCCTCTTTAAAAGTGGTAAATAAGTCGGTTAGAAGTTCACCAACTTTAAATTTAAGCAAAAAAATTGCATAGTCAGTCACTTTTGATAAGAACTAGGGAATTGAGATCAGTCTTTTCGCTGGTTTGGAAGTAGTGGAAGGAAAGTAAAATCCTAAACAGAAAGCAATTCCACATCAGGAAACAAAAACTGGGAGGATACAAACTGAAAAGCCTGATTCAGTAGACGGAAGTGCCTTAAAAGTAAGAGGAAGAGTTGGCAGGCGACAATGGGTAATACTTTGAATGATTTTCTTGTTTTGTTTACGAGAGCCCTGAATGGCATGGTCATTGTACTTCCGGAAGCTGCAGGGCCTTCGGGTCATGTCAGTAGTCTCCAAGCCCTTTTGCACTTCACTTGTGTATATTCTCATCCATTAATATGCCCCTCGTTTTTCTCAAAGCAGTACTGTAAGATCATATCAATGGGAGCAGAAAGCTAACCAGACATTATGGGCCAGGCACACTGAGTTTTACTACTAAAAGCTAAACGTTTGCACGGCGAAAGAAAAATGTATGTTGTAGACGCAAAAAATGTGACGTCTCCTAATAGAAGGGCAAAAAGCGACGCTCACCTTCGCCAACTACCTCAGTTCCAAGTTTTGCATAAATGATATTAAAATTTGAGACGACGGTAGGTGTCAATTTGGAGATGCATCTTTCACTCCTCTACTGGATGAAGAGATACGGTTACACAGTGCTGAAGTGGGAAACAACGTAGTAGAGAGAGCTACTTTAAAACTTATCCTTCACTAACTGACTGGTTTTGAGTCAATGTTTTACGGCTAACAATGGTTATACGTGATGTCTAAGACATTCTCCAAATCTGTGTTGATCGAT